GACGGGTAAGCAGACTCGTCCCTTATCACCTTTCGGTGCCCTTCGCCCTCGGAAGGGTCGAGGCCTACTCCAGCAGCTGGGCCTCGACGAGGGCCTCAAAACTGCGGCACTGACGCCCCGATGTGGGAGGCCCAGTGCTGGCCTCGTCCTTCATCTCCTTGTCGCCCTTTGCCGACAGGTCGTGCAGCATCTCCAGCACCTCCCCAGGGGGTGGGGGGGGAGTGAGGACCAGAGCGAGGAGGAGGAGGAAAAGGAGGAGGAAGCGGAGAAGGAGGAAGCGGAGGAGGAGGAGGAGGAGGAGGAGCAGCAGGAGGAGGAGGAGGCGGAGGCGAACGAGGAAGGGAAGGAAAAGGAAGGAGGACGCGGAGAAGGGGCCTGGTCAGGAGAAGGGAAAATGTCCCCAAGGCCTCTGGAGCACGACTCGGGCGCGTCGGCAGGATGGGCCGAAGGCCCTTCGGGCTTCGCCCTCACATGGGAAGCCGCCGCGGTCCCAGCTTCCCTCCGTCCCCAGTCGGCCTCCTGCTGAGGGGGATCGGGCGGGGGGATTTGACCCAGGGGAGAGGGGCAGGAAGCGGGGGAGGAGGAGGAGGAGGAGGAGGAGGAGGAGGAGGAGGAGGAGGGGGAGGAGGAGGAGGAGGAGGAGGAGGAGGAGGAGGAGGAGGAGGAGGATGATGAGAGAAGAGTAGGAAGAGGAGGTGAGGCTGACCTGGAATCGACGATACGTCGTCGGCAGAGCGACAAAGCCCTCGGTGGCGAAAACTCACGTTCCTGGGCAGGTGTTGGGCATCCAGGCTCCTTTTGGCGATAAAAATGGGCGAGTGGGGGTCGAAGCTTCCCCCCCCCAGACGTGTCGGTAGGATGGGCTGGGCGTTTCGCCAGAGACTTCCTCGCCATGTATGGTCCCAAAGATTGAAACTCGTAAGAGTTTCATGGATGGAAGGCGGGTCGTTTTCAAAAGATGGCTTTCGCCTGAAAGCCGAGCACATTCGTCTTAAACAATTGCGACAGATTCAGAGATGGGGGGCGGATGGTTTTCCAAAAGGTGGCCCTCGCCTTAGCACCGCGCACATTTGTCTTACAAGCTTGCAGCAGGTTCACGGATGGAGGGCGGGTGGTTGTCAAAATGTGACCCTCGCCATATCGCCGCACACATTCATCCTATAAGTTTGCAACAGCTTCACACATGGAAGGCGGTTCCTTTTCAACATGTGGCTCTCGCCTTAGCGCCGCGCCCAATCGTTTGTACACTTTACAACCGTTTCACGGATTCGCCTGGTCAAAGTACCAGGAGTTGTGCTCTGGCACGATTGAGGGCTGCAGGACGCAACAGCCCCGCACGTTCGCGGCGTTGGAGTGCCTGGAACGGTGCTCTGGCACGACTTACACATGCTCGGACGTAGCAGTCACGCTGATCCGCGGCGTTGAAGTCGCAGGTACGGTGTTTTGGAACGATTGAGGATTCTCAAACGATTGTCTTCTGATGGACCACTTCCCGCAATGACAAAAAATCCGCGTGAGGACATATGATGACAGAACTTGGAGGGAGGGCTTCTTGCAACAGCGTTGATGCATATTGGGTTTACACTGGTCCTACTCCTCCTCCTGCTCACCTCTTCCTCCGCGCCCTCCTCCTCCCCCGCCTCATCATCGTCGCCGTCATCGAATATAAGCATCGCCGTCATCGATCATAATCAGCATCGTCAACATGATCATCATCATCATCATCATCATCATCATCATCAGCAGCAGCAGCAGCAGCAGCAGAATCAGTATCATCATCACCATCAGACTCATCATCGTCAGCAGAATCATAATCATCATCATCAGCATCATCGTTAGCATCAGCATCACCACCACCACCACCATCAGCAGCAGCAGCATCAGCATAATCATCAGTCTTATTAACACCAGTATCATCCGCATCATCAGCAGCATCATCATCATCAGCATCATCATCACTACCAAAATCCCCATCACTATCATCGTCATCCTCCCTCCTCCTCCTCCTCCTCGTCCTCCTCCTCCTCCTCCTCATCCTCCCTCCTCTTCCTTCCGCCCCTCCCCTCCTCCTCTTCCTCCCGCCCCCTCCTCCTCTCCTCCTCCTCCTCCTCCTCCTCCTCCTCCTCCTCCTCCTCCGCCTCCTCCTGCCCTCCCTCCTCCTCCTCCTCTCTCCTCCTCCTCCTCCTCCTCATCCTCCTCCCAAAAGCCTCCCTCCTTCCCTCCTCCCCTCCTCCCTCCTCCCATCCTCACCTCCTCCCTCCTCCCTCCTCCCTCCCCTCTCCCTCCTCCCTCCTTCCCTCCTCCCTCCTCCCTCCTCCCCCGTCCCTCCTCCCTCCTCCCTCCTCCCTCCTCCCATCCTCCCTCCTCCTCCTCCCTCCTCCCTCCTCCCTCCCTCCTCCCTCTCCCTCCTCCTCCTCCCGCTCCCTCCTCCCTCCTCCCTCCTCCCTCTCCCTCCTTCCCTCCTCCCTCTCCTCCCATCCCTCTCCTCCCCCCCCTCCTCTTCCTCCTCCTCCTCCTCCTGATCCCCCTCCTCCTCTTCCCACCTCCTCCTCCACCCACCCCTCCCTCCCTGCTCCTTCCCTCCCTCCCCCCTCCCTCCTCCTTCCCTCCCTCCTCCGGCCGCCCTCCCCTCGCAGCCTTGCTGATGGGCGTGGCGCTCTCACGCGATGCCCCAGCGGCGGCAGCACTTGCCGCTGCAAGCATGGCAAGGAGGAAGCGCATCATGGCGGCAATCTACGTTCGTGCGGCGTCGGAGTGTGCTCGCTGGCTGCGGCTGCGGGAGCGGCGGATAAAGGAGGGCGGAGGGAGGGAGGGAGGGAGGGAGGGAGGCAGGGGGAGCAGGGAGGGAGGGAGAAGGGAGGGGGAGGGCAAACCAGGTGCGCGCCACATCTGACATTCTGACATTCTACCCCTCCCACCCATCCCTTCCCGCTGCGCTGAATCATGCTCGATCCGCCGGCTAGGGTGTCCCAGAGAACCTTGATCCCCAAATGGCATTGCAGGATTTGGCCCATCGCTTGCTGCGCAATCAGAAAGTGGCAGTTTGCCCATAGGAGGAGAGAAGGAGGATGAGGAGGCGTATGAGGAGGAGAAGGCGGACGAGCAGGAAGAAGAGGAGGGACAAGAGCAGGAGCAGAAAGATGAAGAGACGCAGGAGGACCAGGGGAAGGGGGAAGAGGAGGGGGGGGATCCAGAAATGTAGCCCGCGCTGTAGCGACAGCGCCATTCTGAACGACGGGATCAAAGCACCGATGCTGAAATATCAGGTGGAACACCATGTTCGAACGGTCATAGATGCTCCGATTGAAAAGGACATCAGAAATACCAAAGAATGGAATCCCGTGCGTGGAAAATCGGCACTGGAAACATGGGGGGGGAGGGGGGAGGGCATTGTCCGGGGGGAGAGGAGAGTAGTAATACCACATTGGTAATTTGCAAAGGAGGCGCTCATGCCTGAGGAGCCAGTCAGGTTCTTACTGTAGGGCCCTACGGCCAAAGGGGACGAATTTGACGCGTGGGAGTGCTATCTCGAGCTGGTGCCGAGCCGAGTTGAGGACTATTCCGTACTCTGTCGGCGCTGGTGTCCTCCTCTGCCCGGCCTCGGGAGAAAAGGAGAAGTTGCAAAGGAGGAAGGAGAGGAAGGGAAGGAAGGAAAGAAGGATAGGAAGAAGGAAGGAGGGGGGAAGGAAGGAAGGAAGGATAGGAAGGAAGGGAGAAAAGCCAGGCGGGGAAGCGGGAGAGGGAGGGAGGGAGGGCGGAGGGAGCCCCTGCTGGCGCCCCTTGCACGCAGGCGGCCAACAGGCGGCGGGCCGCACGAGACCGCCCGGGTGTCGGCACGCCAGCGGATCGAGCTGGCCAGCGCCTACACGTCGAATCGGACCGATCTCGGATCGCAACTGGCCCCCGCAGACCTCCGGTGCCCTGACTCTCTCAACAAAATGACGCGGCCCACGGAAGTTCCGACTCTTTCCCCAGGGCCGGCTTGTCATCCCGAGTCCTGCATTGACGGTCCCAGGGCCCGGCGAGAGCCCCCAGAGGCCGAGAACTTAAGAAGAAAAATAAAAAACAACTCTGGCTTGATTCATCCGTACGTTGGAGCTCTGGGTTTTGAGAGGGTTGACCCCGCGAGGGCCGAGGTCCGTCTGCAACCTGAGGGGCAACGCTAGGGTTGGGCCAGCTCATGGAGAGAAACATTGAGCTTGAATCGGCGATGCAACGCCACCAGATCGGCGATAGGCCCCCGATAGCGAAACGGCACGCTCCTGGGCAGGGTGGGCTATCGAACCCCCATCGGCGATCGATGGGCGAGTGGGGGTCGATGAATCCCCCTCTGAGCCTATCCCCTCCCCGGTGGCTTTCGGGCCACCACTCGGGCCTCCGGCAGCCTCTCGGGCCGAGCTGGGCACCCCCGGAAGGCCCTCGGCGAGGCGCGGCGGCCAGAACACATCACCCCGAGGCTGGCACGCCGCCGAGCTCCGACGCGCGCCAGAAAACATCGAGCCTCGAACCTCGGGCGGTGGGGGGTCCGTGTCCCCCCCCCCCCCCCCGACCCCAGCACCCCCCCCCCCCCACGTTTGCCCCGCCCCGCAGAGGCCCCCCGACTGCCGCCTCCCCCCGAGGAGGAGGAGGGAGGATGAGGAGGATGGGGAGGAGGAGGAGGATGAGGAGGAGGTACTCAGAGGAGGAATGAAGGGGAGGAGTAAGGGGGAAGGAATGCGGCTCGAGGATCGCGAGGAGGAGGAGAGGATGAGGCGGGGTGAGGAGGAGGAGGAGAGGCGGAGGATGAGGGAGGTGAGAGGAGAGAGGCCCCCCCCCCCCCCCCCCCGGGGGGGCCCGAGCGCGCGCGCACGCGCGCCCTGGTCCTCGGAGGCGGCGCCCCCGGCGCCAGCACCGGGGGTGCTGGCCTGGCTGCCGCGCGCCTCCGGCGCGCGCCGCGGCAACGGCGTCGGGTCGGGCCTGTCCCCCTGCAGGGGGATTTTGGGAGCGAAACATGAAGAATGTTCAAAGAATACTCCCAAATGGTCAAAAGATACTCGAAAAAAATAGTCCCAAATGGTCAAAAAAATACTCGGAAAACTGTATGATTCAAACAGTAGTCCCAAATGGTTCAAAATTGTTCAAATAGTCCCAAAAAATAGTCCCAAATGATCTCAAAAAATGGCCCCAAATGATTCAAAGAGTACTCCCAAATGGTCAACAAAAAAACTGGGAAAATAGTCCCCTGACTATTTTGTTAGCTATTTTGGAATTCTGCCCCTGTAGGGAGACAGGCCCGACCTAACACTGGCGGTCGACGTCTTCGCCATCGTCCCCTCCGGCCCCCCTCGCCGAGCAAGACGTCGGGGGTCCCTCTGGGTGCCTGCTGGGTGCCTCGTGGAAGCCTGCCAGGCCGTCTTGCACTCGGGGCCGCCGTCGTGGGGTGCTCTCCGGGGCTCGTGGGAGGCTCGTGGGCCGTACTCGAGCGAGGCTCCTCCTGCTCCGCGTAGTAGGCTTGTGACGTGCCGGGGCCAATGCGGTGAGCGAGGAACGTTTCTATCGGGGGCCCCACCGTGTGGTGACAGACCGCGCGGTGACCTCGGCAACCCCCAAGGCCTCACCGCACGGTGCGTCACCGCACGGTTCAGGGACCCTGCATGGAGGCCCCAGCCGCTCGAGGCATGCTCGGAGAACGACTCGGGCCCCAAAACCGCGAGGTGACCCCGGATCCCCACTGGCTCGGCGTGGTCACCACCACACCGTCTGGGGGCCCCCGGAAAAAACCCGACGCGAGGCTCTGGACCCCTGTCGGCCTCCGGGGGCCGGGACCATCAAAACGGCGGCCCGGGGGGGGGGAAGAAAAAAAAAAAAAAACGGCCCTGCAGGAAAAGGGTCGGGACACTTCCGGGGACCGCGCATTGACAAAAATCCAGGCCTCGCCGACCAGCCATAACTGGGGGGAGGAGCTGTGGTCCTCACCCCCCTGGGGGGACCCATCGCATCGGCGATCTCTCGAGAGGGGTGTCGAAATCGATGGGTCCCCCAGGGGGGGTAAGGACCACAGCTCCCCAAGTTGTGGCTGGCCTGCCTCGGGTGCCCGGGGTGCCTCGGGTCTTCGGAGGTCCTCGCCGGCTCCCGGAGGCCTGCTCGCCTCGGAGTGCTCTCCGGCAGCCGGCGCCTCGCCGAAGGAGCGGAGCGCTCCCGGGCGGTGCCCGGGCCGTCCCGGGGCCGCCGCTGGAGGCCCGAGGTGTGGGCCGGAGGCCTCTTCCGTGCTTCGGGGGCCCCGGCCCTGACCGTCCAGAGTGCTAAAAAAGGGCCCTCCAGACCGATGGGCCTATCTGGGCTGCCTATAAGACCTCGACAGGAACTAAGACATCGAGGCGCACCCCACCCCCTCTGCGAGCCCCAGGCCGCCCCGCGGAGATCCGACGTCCTGGCCGCTGCTCGAGGCGCGGTCTCCGAGGGCCCGGGCCCTGGCCACGGGGCCCTGCTCGCCGCCTCCGGTCGTTGTCGCTTCGGCTACCGGGGCCTGGCGAGGGCCCCCAGAGGACCCAGATGGCGAAAAGCCTCCGTCCTAAGCCGATCGCCGACGGGAAATCGGAACTCGGAACTCGGGTGTCCTCGAAAGACCGTCACGGTGGACGGCGCTGCTGGGGGTGTGCAGGACTCAGATGAGCCTGCAGACCACGCCGACGGGAGGTTCGAGGAGGATCGAGGCTCGACGGCGTGAAGCCGGAGGAGGCGAGCGAGGAGCAGAGGAGGGCGAGGAGAGGGAGGAAGGAAGACCAAAGCAGACCAAAGAGAGATACATCCGCGATGCTGCAATGCCTCCTCCCTTCCCGGGTCCCCTCCTCATGCGTCCCTGCACGCTCTCAATGTCACTGCAGGAAGCGCCCCTCTCTGAGAGACCAGCACCAGATGGGCCTGCCACTTGGGCTCGCGAAGGCCCTGTCTTGAGAAGTAACTGTGCGTCCTTCGGGCGCCAACGTCAGGAATCTGAGAACGGTGCTCACACAGGTCAACGAGGTGTCCAGCGAGACCCCCTGCCGAAGGAAGGACCGCCCCCCCATCCGTGCAACTGCTGCGAGCGCAAGTGTGTACACTTGTGGCCATGAAGTCCGAGGACGTCCCAAGCGAGAGCTCTATTTTGAAAAGCAGCCGCCATCGATATGTAGACTGCTACTTGTGTTGTGTTTTGCTCCTGGTCTAACCCATGTTAGGAATGAGAGGAGTACAACAAAAAAGAAAAAAACGTCCTCCAACCCTGTAGATGCTGGAAACGCTTTAAACAAAAGAATGCGCGCGGCGCTGAAGCGGGAGCCCCATGATGGAAACGACCTGTGCCCCATCCGTAATACTGCTGCCACATGTTGACATGATTGCGCGCGGCCATAAGGCGAGAGCCACATTTGGAAAATGGGGCCGCCCCCCATCTTGGCAGCTGCTGCACAACCTGAACTTGCAGCTTGTCCCGGAAAGCCTGTTCTTACTGCTTCCGTTTCCCAGTGCGTGTGCCGTCCAGCTTTCCAGAAGCTCCCTCGGAAGGAGCTCCTGGATCTCCTTCGAAATCGTGTTCTGTGGCCCTTCTGGCGCCCAGCTATCGGGAATTCGGATATCACAAATGGAGCCGCCCTCCACCCTTGCAGAGTTTTCAGCATGTCAGAACGAATTTCACTCGGCACGAAGGCGAACGCACGATTTTGAAAAGGAGCCACCCTCCATCCCCGAAGCCACTGCAACAGTTTGAAGACAAAAACTGAGCACGGCGCTTAGACGAGAGCGCCGTTTTGAGGAGACGCCCTCCATACTCGGAATTGCTGCAAGCGTTTGAGACGAATATGCGCGGGGCGATGGCAAGAGCCCCATTCGGAAAGGGACCACCCCATGCTGCAGCTGCTGAAAACGTGAAAAACAATGTGCAAAGCGCTAAGGCGAGAGCCCCGTTTTGAAAACCACTCCGCCTCCATCATCGAAGCTGCTCCAAACCTCTAAAACGAAGCTGCGCGGCACAATTGAAGAGCCCCATTTTAACAACGATACGTGCCCCCTCCCTGTAACTGATGCAAGCTATTTGAACGTATGTACACAGCGCATTTTGAAAACCACCCCCCCTCCATCCCAGACCCTGTTGCAAATTCCAAGCTCTGGGGTCATGAACAGTGAGGCCATCTCAGGCGAAACGCCTGGCCTGCCCTACCGACACGCTTGGGCGTGCGACAAGGAAGAATCACTTATATGATAAGGACAAGGGATGGAGGAACGCGACATCGACGATGACAAAACAACGAGCAGGAACCGAAAATGCGGGAATGATCGACACGGGTGCTGCTGACGGGAACGGGCCCTGGACCCCCCCAGGGCTCTCCGCGGGACCCGCCCCCCCGTCCTGAGTCGCGATCCGACGGCCCTGGGGGCCCGGAGGCGCCCCCTGGCAGCCCGAGGGCGGCGCAGAACCGCCAAGGCCCCTCTCCTCCAAGGACCCCCCCTCCCCCACGAGCGGCCGCACGGCACGTGGCACAGCCACGCGCCCGCCGGACGCGGAGCCCGGCGGCGGCGAGCCCGAGGCGCCAGCGCGGGCGAGCTTTCTCTCCTCCTCCTCCTCCTCCTCCTCCTCCTCCTCCTCCCTCCTCCTCCTCCTCCTCCTCCTCCTCCTCCTCCTCCTCCTCCTCCTCCTCCTCCTCCTCCTCCTCCTCCTCCTCCTCCTCCTCCTCCTCCCGCTGCAGGGGCGGCAGTGAGCGCCGGGGCCTCGTGGTCGGGCGGCAGCGGAGGGAACTCCTCGAGGGCGGCGACGGCGTGCTGCTCCGGGGTGCCCGCGGCAGCACCGCCGCCGCTGCGGGCCCTGGCGCTCCGCTCGCCCTCCTCTCCCCCGCCCCGCCTGCTCGGGTGAGCTGCGACGTGGCGATGAAGAGCAGGACGCCATCGGCATGGCTTTCCAGCCGTCGTGTGGTGCGGGGCTCGCGTCGTGACCCCGCAGCGCCCCACGTCGTGCACGTCTTGGGGGGTCAGGGCCAGCAGAACACCGCGAAAGCAGACGCCAAGGGGGCGCAACCAACCTGTTCGGTCGGGCTGGAATCAATACGCACCGCACCCGACGTCAAGCCAAAACTTTGTGGCCACAGGCGAAGCACAAAACTTGGATGTTGCACATCTTTGTCGGCTCAACTGGCGAGACGTTGGACCACTTCGACGTCACTTCTCGTGGTGGCACTGCAGAGGAAGGCGCTCCCGTCCCACCCTCGGCCCTGCTCGGCCCAAGTCCCACCTCCGCCCCCCGCGCCCCCCCTCCTCGGTGGCAACTCGTGGGAGCTCCCCATACCATCTCGTCAGCTCTTGCGAATCGACGCTAGTCGACGCTAAATCGAAGCCAGTCGACGCTAAATCGACCCTCCTCGATGCTGACCGACGCTGCATCTGCGCTGCCCCATCGACTCCCAGGCGCCAATGGACGCGAATCGACGCTGAAGACAAAATTGCGAAGGTGCACGCTGGGCTCCCATGACTTGCTGCCGAACAGATCCCCTCGCCCTCCCCGCGTCGACGGCTTTCTTGTTCTTTTGGAAGATGAACCACAAACAGAAAACGGCAAAACAAAAAACAAACAAAAAAAAAGGCGCGCCTCTCGCACGCCTCGTGGCCCCCCCCTGGGGAGCTCCACCCGCACCGTGTCGGTGGGCGCGACCGCACGGCGCGCCTACCCCTTCTGCACGCTTCGCGGCCCCATCCTGTTCTTCGCCTGCTGTCCTCCTTCTCGTCCTCATCCTCATTATCAGCATCATCCTCTCCTCATCCTAATCCTCCTCATCACCATTACTTCCCTCCTCGCGCCTCGTCCTCCACATCCTGCCCCTCTGCACCAATGTCATCTTCCCCACGCTTTCCTCCTCTTCGTCGCCCTCGCCTCCTTCTGACGATCCAGTCCCGCATGCTGCTTCTCCTCTCCCTATGGCTCTCCCTTATAATTAACATCATGTTCGTTCCTCATTACCCATATCCTCCGCATCCACGTGCTCGCCTCCAGATCCTCTCACTCGTCCCTCCTCTTCCCCTCTTCATCCTCACCCTCGTCGGTAAGCCTCCGTGTCCTCTCATCGTCGTCATCGTCATCGTCGCCAAAAGCAGGAGCCTCATCCTCAATATCCTCTCCTCCTCATCCTCATCAACATCCACAATGCCACATCTATCCCTGTCAAAACTACTATCGTGCCACTTGCGACTCCAACGAAATCATATCGAAAACGATAATGCCCAGACAGGCTCGCGCCAAAATCGCACAGTCATCTCTAAATGACATTTCCTCCTCCGCATCCCCCCTCTTCGAAGAGACAATACATGTCACTGATCTTCCATCAGCAATACCTGGTCATCGCTCGGACGTCCATTCCCTGTGTTTTTTGTAGGTTTCGTGCGTGGCTTTTTCGCAGGATGATCCAGGATGCTCCTTAATAATCCCCGCCGGGAAAAAAGTGCACAGGTCCGAGCGATACCAAGATACCATACGAAAGACTACAGTCTGTGTTGACAATACATACACACACACACACACCCACACACTTGACCGCGCCAGCATGGTCCGCGCGCAAGCGCGTTGTCACAAGTCGCGACAGCAATCAGCACGACTGCACATATGGCACAGCACAAACGGGAATGTCCGCATTCCCTCCATCGTTGGCCTACCACTGGAAAGCCGAGATTATCATCAAGCAAAGTATGATGACTGCCGTAGCCGAACTCACACTCACCATCATCGCCCCATCGATCATGATGATGCTTAATATCGGACAAATCGGCAATCGATCTGCGTCTAAGCAGCAGCATGGTACTTTCAAGTCGGCACACATGATAAACAGCACATGCGAAGCACGAACAACGTGAGGCGAAGAGCCTCATGGTACACATGTCTTAGAGGCCTCCCACATGGTGTCCACCGTCAGCGTGGAGAAAATCTGGCTCCACATCGAGCCGTATCGGCGTTGCTAGTGGAACGAGCAATGACATCAACAGAAAAACTCGGAGGTCCGCGCGGACCTCCGAGTGTTTACCTTTCTGTCATTGATCGTTCCCCTAATCGCATCGGCGATGCGACGCGATCCTCTGACCCCATCTGCTCGGACGCACCCCATTTGGGAGACCTGGGGCCCCAGGCTGACCGAACGTGCAAGTATAGACAGACGCGTTCCACTACTCGCAAAGTAACTACTCGCAAATGGCCCAGATCCGTCGCGAGGGATTTGCGATGCATCACAACCAGGCGAACATGTGTTTTTCGGACGTTTGCGAGTAGACACTTTGCAGGTAGTAGAATGCGCTCGGTCAAAGTCCAAAGAGGCACAGAGAGGAGAGGCGTCCCTGTGGCTCGGGTGACACCCGGCGCGCTGCCAGCTCGGGTGGCACCAGGCGCGCTGCGAGTCCTGTTCCAGGAAAAAGGTAGGAAAAAACGGGCACTCAAACCTATAGCGAGGAGCAGTGGGGGAAGGGCAAGGAGATCAAGGAGCCAGAAGTACGGGTGCGGGTGGTCGGACCCCGAGGGGGTCTCCCGATCGAGCGTGGAGCCCCACCCGACGACAAAACACACGCATAGCCCACACGGAGCTGCATCCCGAGAAATCCAAGGGTCCCATCGGTATGGGTGCCAGCTGTCAGCTCATGAAGAGAAGGCAGAATCGAGCACACTTCGGCAAGTTGTCGCAGCGCTTCCCGCGCAGAGACCACCCGCTCACAGCCCGAAACTGGGAAGCCTCACGCAAAGACAGCCTGACGATGGGTCTGGCCCTAGGCAGCTACGTGCCAGGCGGACAGTCGGTTCAGGAGCTGCGAAGCAGCTGCACATACTGAACTCGCTTTGGGATACGATCGGCGCGAGGGGTGTGCCAAAATAAACGGACACAACACGCGAGCACATCCGCTGACGCCGTAGATGAAGCGGTTCGCGCCCGTCCCGCTCCACCGCTCCCGCAGGTGCCGTTTGACACTGCAGAGAGGCTCCGCCAGACCGCGACAGGCATCGGAATACCCTGTTACCTATCTGGGGTCGCGCCCTTCCCACTCCACCAGTCCCGCTGGCGCCTTCTGATCCTGCATGGAGGCCCCGCCCGACCGCGATAGGCATCGGAATTCCTCATTTGGGGACGCAGAAAGACACACTAGTACTACGTGTCCTCCTCGGAGGAATGCATCCGACCCGAACATATAGTACATCCATCTTGTATCATATCGTTTCCCGAGTGGTACGGCCATAAAGCGCCCACCACCGAGCACATACTATACAATGTCTCGGCGCGCGCATCGCCCCTGCGGGGGCGACATAAACTTAGTACAAGTATGTTTGGATGGCGCCGACATGATCTATCAAGGTTCGGGTCCTTCCCACTCCACCAGTCTCGGCAGTGTCGTGTGGCCCTCAAAGGCCCGGCCAGGCCGCGCCGGTGCCGTCAGGGGCGGAGGTCGGGGAGACAGGGGAGGACGAGGGAGGGCGAGGAAGGAGGGAGTGAAGAGTGAGAGAGGAGGAGGAGGGGAAGCCGGGTGGCCTGAGCGAATGAGTGAGTCAGGAAAGGAGTAATAAGAAGAAGATAATGATGAAGAAGAGAAAGAAGAAAGGTCCACCAGGGAAGGAATGAGGAGGAGGATCAGGAGGACCCGACAGCAAGATGATCTGAGCTATCAGGGGTTGCTCCTCCATCATCAGCATCATCATCATGATACCGGAGAGAAAAACAATATGAATATTTTTAGGACTATAAGGCTATAGGGCTATAGGGCTATAGGGCTATAGGGCTATAGGGTCATAAGGCTCTGGAACTATAGGGCGATAGGGCTACAGGGCTATAGGACTACAGGGCTATAGGGCTATAGGGTTATAGGGTTATAGGGCTATAGGGCTATAGGGCTAAAAGGCTACAAGGCTATAAGGATATAAGGCTATAGGGCTATAGGGCTATAGGGCTATAGGGCTATAGGGCTATAGGGCTATAAGGGCTATAGGGCTATAGAGCTACAGGGCTACAGGGCTATAGGGCTATAGGGCTACAATGCTATAAGGCTATAAGGCTATAAGGCTATAGGGCTATAGGGCTATAGGCTATAGGGCTACCGGGCACCCGGGCACCTGGGCACCCACGCACCCGGGCACCCAGGCACCCGGGCACCTGGGCGTGCCGCCGAAATCGGCGCCAAACCTCACCTAACCATATGGATCTTCTAGGACCCCTTCTAGGACCCCTACAGAGGCAAGCTCTGATTGGGGAATCATCCTCAGAATCATCAGCATCATAATCATCATCCTCATCATCATCATAATCAGCATCATCATCATCAGCAGCAGCAGCATCACCACCAGCATCGTCATCACCATCATCAGCATCATCATCATCATCATCATCATCATCACTGTCAGCACCGTCATCATCATCATCATCATCATCATCATCATCATCATCACCATGATCATCATCATCATCATCATCAGCATCATCATCAACATCATCATCATCATCATCATCATCATCATCACTGTCAGCATCGTCAGCATCGTCATCATCGTCATCATCATCATCATCAACATCATCATCATCATCATCATCATCATCATCATCATCATCATCATCATCATCATCATCATCATCATCATCATCATCATCATCATCATCATCATCATCATCATCATCATCATCATCATCATCATTATCGTCGTCAGCATCAGCATCAGCATCAGCATCAGCATCATCATCATCATAATCCGCCGACCCCTTGGTGCCACGGCGTGTGAGATGCTTCCCCTCCCCAAACCCCTCCCCCGGGGGCCTGGTCCGGCCGGCCGGTTTGGGCGGGGGAGGGGGGGCAAATCCATCACCCGCACACTTGGAGCCTCAGGAGGCCCCAGAACAGGCCAAAAAAAATCCAAAGGTTCCTGGAACGCTCCAAGAAAGCTACGAATCGACGAAAGATCGCCCCAAAACGCCGAAGAGTGCCTCCAAACGGCTCCATAAGTCCCCAAGACGTTTGAAACAATATTACGAGCTTCCCAAAGATGCCCTCCAGAAGCAAAAACCGTTTCATTTCCTAGGGAGGACGTGCATTTTCACAACATGCGCCCATTCGGCTTCCACGCGGCGCAAAACGGGCCAAGAAGCCTCCAAGAGAGGCTCCCAAAAAGGCTCCAAGACGGCGTCCGGGCGATCCACGAAGGCCCCAGAAGTCATAGCAACGGCTTAGGAAAGCCGCAGGACGGTCCCAAGAGAGCTCCAAAACGGGGCAAGAGGGCCCCAAAAGGCTGTCCGGACGGCCCACGCGGGGGACGATTCGGTCCAAACCGCCCACAATCGCCGCCAGACGGCCCCATGGGTGTCCAAGACGTTCGCGACCACGAGGCGCTCCAAGAAGGCCTCCAAAAGCAAAAACCGTTCCATTCCCGAGGTAAAACGTACATTTTCAGCACATTCGCTTCTAGGGCTTTCACGAAGCCCACAACGGCCCATTTAACCTCCACGATCGACCCCGGTCACCCGGAGAGGCTCCCAAGAAGGCTCCAAGACGGCTTCCGGGCGATCCACGAAGGCTCCAGAAACCATAGCAACGGCCCAGGAAAGCCGCAGGACGGTCCCAAGAGGGCTCCAAAACGGGCCAAGAGGGCTCCCAAAGGCTATCCAGACGGCCCGCGCAGGGGACGATTCGGTCCAAACCGCCCAAGATTGCCTCCAGACAGCCCTATGGGCGTCCAAGACGCTTGCATCCGCGACCACGAGGCCCTCCAAGCAGGCCTCCAGAAGCAAAAACCGTCCCATTCCCTCAGCATATTCGCTTCTTGGGCTTCCACGAGGCCCACAATGGCCCAGTAAACCTCCAAGATCGACCTCTGGCACCCTAAGAGACTCTCCAAAAGGCTCCACGACGGCCTCCGGGCGCCGCACGAAGGCCCCAGAAACCATAACAACGGCCCGGGGGAACGGCAGGACAGTCCTAAAGAGGGCCCCAAACGTGTCTAGAGGGGCCTCACAGGCTGTCCAGACAGGCCACGCGGGGGACGATTGCTGCCGCCCCAAGGGGTCGGCGGTGTGGCGTAAGCCAATAAATCATCATCATCGTCATCATCATCATCATCATCATCATCATCATCATCATCATCATCATCATCATCATCATCATCATCATCATCATCATCATCATCATCGATCATCATCATCATCATCATCATCATCATCATCATCATCATCATCATCATCATCATCATAATCATCATCATCATCCTACTCATTATCATCATCACCATGAACCTCATCATCATCACCATCAACATCACCATCCTCATCATCATCATCATCATCATCATCATCATCATCATCATCATCGTCATCGTCATCGTCATCGTCATCATCATCATCATCATCAGCATCAGCATCATCATCAACATCATCATAATCATCAGAATCATCATCAGCATCAGCATCAGCATCACCATCACCATCAGAATCATCATCATCGTCATCATGATCGTCATCATCAGCATTATCATCATCCGCATAATCATCATCGTCGTATCAACATCGTCAACATCTTCGTCATCAACATCATCAGCAGCAGCAGCATCATCATCAGCATCAGCATCAGCATCACCATCATCATCAGCATCACCAGTATTATCATCATCGTCATCATCAGCTCAATCAGCAGCAGCATCAACATCATTGGAATCCTCATCATCATCAGCAGCATCATCATCAGCAGCATCATCATCCTCATACTCATCCTGATATTCATCTTCATCTTCCTCCTCCTTCTTCTCCTCCTCCTCATCCTCCTCCTCACTCCTCATTCTCCTCCTCCTCCCTCCTCATTCTCCTCCTCCTCCTCCCCACTCTCCTCCTCTCCTGCTCGAGGATCAAGTTTAAAGATGTTCGGACATGTGCAGTCTTTCTTAAGCCTCCTGGGGGCCTCCAGGGATCTCCGGAGACCTCTGGAGGCCGCATCATCATCCTCGTCCTCCTCCTCCTCCTCCTCCTCCTCCTTCTCCTTCTCCTCCTCCTCCACCTTTCTCCTCCTCGGCTCTCCTTCTCGTCCTCCTCCTCCTCCTTCTCCTCCTCCTCTTCCTGCTTCTCCGCCCCCTCCTCCCTCCTCCTCCTCCTCCTCCTCCTCCTCCTCCTCCCCCTCCTCATCCTCCTCCTCCTCCTCCTCCTCCCCCCTCTTCACCCATTCCTTTGCCTTGTGGAAACTCCCTCCCTGTCGCGCCCCCAGGCGAGTCGGCAGGGTGGGCCAGGCGCTACAGCTTCAAGGATGATGTGGGGTCGATCTCAAAATGGGGCTATCGCCTTAGCGCCTCGAAAATTCGCCTTCAATGTCTGCAACAATTTCAAGGATGGAGGGGTGCGTTTTCAACATGGGGCTCTCGCCTCAGCGCCGCGTACAATCGCTTCAAATGGCTTGAACAGCATGAAGCATGGAGAGGGGGTCGCCTTCAAAATAGGGCTCTCGCCTTAGCGCCGCGCGCACTCGATGCAAAAGTGTGCCTCCAGTTCAAAATTGGAGGGTGTCGATTTCAAAATGGATCTCTCACCGTAGCGCCGCGCACATTCGCCTTCAAAGCATGCAGGAGCTTCAAAGGTGGATGACGGTTCATTTTTCAAATTTGGGCTTTCGGTTTAGCACCGCACTCACTCGTCTTACAAGTTTGCAACAGCTGCATGGATGAAGGGGAGTTCCTTTCTCCAAACGGGGTCGTCGCTGGATCTCGCTGGACACCTCATTGACCTGCATGACTATACCTTACCGGATTCCGTACTATCCGCCGGAAAGATGCAGGGAGGTTCCCTTTCAAAGCGGGGCCCTCGCCTGAATTGCAAACCCATGTGACCCATGTGGCGCTGGTCTACGACGCTGAAGCTTTGCATCTGCCAGAGCTTCACGGATGGAGGGCGGCTCCCCTTTAAAAACTGTGGCTCTCGCCTTTAGCGCCGCGCACAGGCGCTTCACAAGCGCGCGAGAGCTCCACGGATGGAGAGCGGCTCCTTCTCAGAGTGCGGCTCTCGCCTCACCGCCGCGCACACTCGTCGTGAAAGCCTGCAGGAGCCTCACGGATGGAGGGCGGTCTATCTTCAAAGTGTTGCTTTCGCCGCAGCGCCGCGCACATTCGCCTTAAGAGCTTGCGGCAGCTTCAGGGGTTCTCATACGCAACGTCCCAGAAGTCCGCCAACCTTCCCTGTCGGCGTGTGTGAGGCGCTTGTCCGTTCGAGTCGTCCTCTTCGCCATTCGTTAGTCGTCGTCTCTGCCGGCTCTTTTCTCTGCGGCCCCCATTTCTCTGGGCCTGCCGCTGCTCCCCCCCTTCTCCTGAGCCCTTGCGAAAGCGAAATTGAGTAACGTCGTAATCCAATCGAAGGGAAGCCCCCTCCCTTTGATCCCTGCCCCGTCGCGGGGGGGGGGGCCCGGGGGGAGTCCCAGGGTTGGGTCTGGGGGGGTCCGAGGGGGTCCGGGGGGGGTCGCCACCCAGGGGGGGGTCCCTCCCAAGGGGGTCTCGGGTCCCAAGAAAGCCCCAGGACGGGCCAAGAGTGCCCGAAAGCCCCAAAGACGGTCCAAGAGGGCCTCGCATCGCCGAACGATCTGTCCAAGACGCCTTCACGGCCTCCTGAAGGCCCATGAACCTGCCAAACGCACCTAGAGGCCCCAAGAGGCAAAATTGATTAGTTTCCCGTAGGTGTCTGAAGGATTCTGATGTTCTCGCCTCTTCCGCTTCCCGACGCTCCCAGACGGCCCAAGAAGCCCCCTAGATCGCCCCAAGACGGCCCAAAGTCCTCCAAGAGGTTCCCAACATGGCCCAAGAGGGCCCCAAGACGGCCCGAGACGCATCCAAGACAGGCCAAGAGGCACCCAAGACGGCTCCAAGAGATTGCCCAGACGGGGACCCGAACGGACATCTCGAGCCCTCGCCCGCGAGAAGCTCTCAGGAGGCCCCAAGAGGCCTCGAAGACGCCCCCAAGAAGCCCCCAGGAAGCTCCTGGAGGCCCCCAAGAGGCTCCCAAAATGCCTCCCAAGAGTCTACAAAAAAGGCCCTAAACTGTCCACCAGAGGCGCCCGAAAGCGCTCCGAACAGACCGCGACAACCATCCCCTCCTCTCCCTGCTCCTCACCATCCTCCTCCTCCGCCTCCTCCTCCTCTTCCTCCACCTCCTCCACCTCCTCCTCTTCCTCCTCCTCGTCCTCCTCCTCCTCCTCCTCCTTCTCCTCCTCCTGTTCCTCCGCCTGGTTTTCATCGCCCTCCACCTGCTCATTGCCCTTCTCGACATCCTTCTGTCCCAATTCTCCATCCTCATCCTCCCCCGCATGCTTTTTCTACTCCTCCCCCTCCTGCTCCTCGGCGTCCTCCAACTCCTCGTCCCCCCCCCCTCCTTCCATCCTCCTCCTCCTCCCTATGCCTCCTCCTCCTCCTCCTCCACCTCTCCTCCTCCACCTCCTCCTCCTCCTCCTCCTCTCCTCCTCCTCCTCCTCTCCTCCTCCTCCTCCCTCCTCCTACCTCCTCCTCCTCCACCTCCTCTTCCTCCTCCTCCTCCTCCTACCTCCTCCTCGCTCCCTCCTCCTTCCTCCTCGCTCCTCCTCCCCTCCCCCTGCTCCTCTTCTTCCTCCTCCTGCTTCACCTGCTCTCCTATTCCTCCTCCTCCTGCTCCTCCATCCTCCTCCTCCTCCTCCCTCCTCCTCTCCTCCTCACTCCCTCCACCCCTCCTCCTCCTCCTCCTCACCCTTTCCATCCTTCCTCCTCGTGCATCCTCACTCCTCTCCTCGTCATCCTCCTCCTCCTCCTCCTCCTCCTCCTCCTCCTCCTCCCTCCTCCTCCTCATCCATCCTCATCCCCCTGCACTTCCTCCTCCTCCTCCTCCTCCTCCACTCATCATCATCATCATCATCATCATCACATCATCATCCATCAGTCATCATTCACATCATCATCATCATCATCATCATCATCATCATCATCATCATCATCATCATCATCATCATCATCCATCCCATCATCATCACATCATCATCGTCTCGTCATCCATCATCATCATCACCTCATCATCAGCATCATCATCATCATCATCACATCATCATCATCATCATCATCATCATCATCATCATCATCATCATCATCATCATCATCATCATCATCATCATCATCATCATCATCATCATCATCATCATCCCCCTCCTCCTCCTGCTCCTCCTCCTCCTCCTCACCCTTTCTATCCTCCTCTTCGTCAACCTCATCCTCCTCCTCCTCCTCCTCCTTCTCCTCCTCATCCTCCTCCTACTCCTCTTGCTCCCCCCCTCCCCCGCGTGCTCTTCCCCTAGTGCTCCGCAACCTTACCTCGCCCTCGTCCTTCCCAACGTCTTCCTCCTCCTCCTCCTCCTCCTCCTCCTCCTCCTCCTCCTCCTCCTTCCCCTCCTCCGCTCCTCCGTCCTTCTCCTGCTCTATCCCGCATGATCCTCGTCCTCCTACTGCTCCTTCCCCCCCCGTCCTCCTTCTGCCCCTGCTCCCCCTGCTCATCGTCCTCCACATCCTCCCCCTCCCCCTCCTGCTGATCCTTCGCGTCCTCCACATCCTCCTCCTCCTGCTCCTCCCCCCCCTCCTCCTCCTCCTCCTCCTCCTCCTCCTTCTCCTCCTCGTTCTCGTCGTCGTCTTCAGGGTCGGCGGCACTGGCCGTAAGGCCTTCATAACAGCGTTTTGGAACTATGCCAGATTGTCAGGGCGCAACAGGCACATTGACCCGCGGCGTTGAAGTCCGCGGCGGTGAAGCCCCGGAGACTCGCGGCGGTGAAGCCCCGGAGACGCAACAGTGACGGTAACTCGCGGCGGTGAAGCCCCAGAGATGGCGTTCTGGTACACTTCGGGATTTTCAAACGGTTGACTTCCAACGGGGCATTTCCCTTAGTGAAAATGAATCCGCGTAAGTAGGAGCCTGTGAAGAGGGAACATGGAGGGAACTTGGAGGGAGGGGTCATTGCAATATCGTTGATGAGTCTTGGTGAACACTGGTCCTCCTCCCCCTACTCCTCCTCCTCCTCCTCCTCCTCCTCCTCCTCCTCCTCCTCCTCCTCCTCCTCCTCCTCCTCCTCCTCCTCCCCCTCCTCCCCCTCCCCCTCCTCCTCCGCCCGATGGCACGCGAAGACCGCAGACGGGCCGGCTGGCGCCGGTCCTCGGGACCGCAGCGCTCCTGCCCCTCGGGGGCGACGGCGACCTGCGGGGCGACGGCGACCTTCGCCTGTCGCGCGGGGCGGCGCGGAGCACGGGCGTCAGAGGAGGGCGCTGCAGAGGCGCGCCAGCTCGTCGCGATGGGCGGCCATGGAAATCGCCGATTAATTGTGTCTTTGTGTTTCCTATCCCTCCTGACCTACCCCCCTCTCCCTGACCTATCCTTCTTGGGTCGGCACCGGGCCCCCTCCCAGGCGCGCGGAGCGCGCCAGAGGCGGCCCCCGACAGAAACCAACGTGGGCACCTCACTCCTCAGCATGCCAGTCTACAGCCCCTATACACCCCCGAGGCTCTGCGGGAAACGCGCCGCGGCAATCGGCACTGCCGTCAACGAGATGACGACGACGACGACGACGACGACGACGACGACGACGACGACGATCCTCAGCATGCCAGGAGATCCCATCTGCCATCCGAGTGGACTCCGACCCGCAGCCCAGGCACGGTGGCGGCATGTGCCACAGGCCGTTCGATGATCAACAGATCTCCACGAAGCCCTCGAAAGGCGCCCAAGAGGCCACAAGGAGCAGCACACAACAACCGCCAGTCTCCAAACGGGTCGGCGGTGTGACGTACGCCTAAGAATCAAAAGAGGGCACCGCCGACGCGTCAATGCGTCGCGATGGATGGCCATGCTAAATATGGGCTCTTCACTCCTCAGCATGCCATTCTCAGAAGGCTTGGAAGTCCCCGGGCCTTCTGAAAAGTGTCCTAAACCTCCCCCGAAGACACCGAAAACCTCTCAGAAGGCCAGCAGGCTTCTGAGAAGTCCCGCCGCCTTCTGAGACGGCCGTCTCCTTCGTATTTCCCCCTCTCGCTCGCCGTCGAGCATCGCGATGGGTGGCCATGCTAAACGTGGGCTCTTCACTCGCCAGCATGCAGTTCTCCTCCGCAGGAAACGCGTCGCGGCCATCGGCACGGCCATCAACGAGACGACGACGACGACGACGACGACGACGACGACGACGACGACGACGACGACGATCCTCTGCTTCGCCCTGCGCCTGCCCGCGACACCCGCAGCTGTTTCAGCTGGGCGCGGCGCGATCCCTTCGGGGGCCGAGTCAGGGCCGCGAGGTCCGCCCCAGCGCGGCCTCCTGTCGAGGGGAGGGCGGGGGGGGCAGGAGGAGCAGGAGCGGCAGAGAGAAGGGCCGGAGGGGCAGGAGGACGGGGGGAGAGGCGGGGCGGGGGAGAGGAAGCCGAGATGAGGACCAGGGTAAGCCCGCCTCCTCCCATCTCCTCCCCTACGTACTCACTCCTCCTCCTCCTCCTCCTCCTCCTCCTCCTCCTCCTCCTCCTCCTCCCCTCCTCCTCCTCCTCCTCCTCCTCCTCCTCCTCATCGTCCTTCGCCTCATCCTCCTTCGCCTCCTCCTTTCCTTTCCTTCTAACTAACTCCTCCCAGTCGCGCCCCGAATCGTGTTGGTAGGGCGGGCCGGGCGTTTCGCCTGAGAAAACCTCACCATCTTTAAACCTGAAGTTCAAAAGTGCAAGAGCTTCTCGGACGGAGGGCGGGCCGTGTTCAAAATGTGGCTCTCGCCTGAGCGCCGCCCACATCCGTCATACAAATTTGAAAAAGGTGTCATTGGTGGGCGGCAGGACGTTTTCAATATGTGGCTCTCTCCTTAGAGCCGCGCACATTTCGTCCCAAAAAGTTACAGTTTCACAGATGGAGGGCAGGCCCTCCAGAACGCGGCTCTCGTCTTAGCGCCGCGCGAATTCGTCTTAAAGGTTTACAAGAGTTTCGCGGATGAAGGGCGGGTCGGTTTCTAAATGTGGCTCTCGCCCTAGCGCCGCGCACATTCGTTTTAAGTCTACAACAGTTTCAGGGATTCGCATGTCTAGTAACGTATCAGAAAAAATGTGATGGCAGGATGCCTGACTGTCAGGGCGCAACAGTTACGCTGATTCGTGGTGTGAAGCCCCAGGTACGGTATCCTGGCACGACTCAGAATCGTCAAGGCGCAACTGTAACGGAAATTCGGGGCGTTGAAATCCCAGGAATGGTGTTCTGCCACAATTCAGGACTTTCGAACAGTTTTTTCCAACGGGACTTCCTTCAGTGAAGAATGAATACATGCAGGGGTCTCTGAAGAGGAACTTGGGGAATCCGCCGACCCCTTGGGGTTCATCGGCGTGTGAGATCTTCCCCCTCCCCAAACCCCTCCCCCAGGAGCCCGGTCCGGTCGAACTGGAGGGGGGGGGGTCCGGCCGGTTCCCCCGGGGGGGTCATCCGCTCCCGAAAATCCTGCAAGGACTCCTCCGGTGGCCTCGAAATGGCCCCAGGACGGCCCACGAGGGCCCCGGGACGCTAAACGAGCGCTTCAAGACGCCCAAGATGGCCCCAAGACAGGCCAAGAGGCCTCCAAGACGACCCCAGAGGTCCCAAACAAGCCTCCCAAGAGGGCCCCGAGAGGCTAAAATTGTTGATGTTCCATTGTGTTTTTCTGTGTTATTTGCCTTTTCGCCTTTTCGGCTTCCCGACGTTCCAAGACGGCCCAAGAGGCCCCGAAGACAGCCCCAAGACGGCCCAAGAGGCCCCCGAGACGGCCCCAAGACGGCCCAAGATAGCTCCAAGACGGCCAAAGAGGTCCCCAAGACGGCCCAAGAGGGCTCCAAGACGGCACCACGAGGGGCCCCAGAGGGCGACCAAAAATTCAAAACATCTAGCTTTCCGCCCCCAGGAGCCCCAGGGGGCCCCAAGAGTGCCCCAAGAGGCCGCCAGAGGCTCCCAAGAGGCCCCCAAGACGCCCCAAGGAGCCCCCAAGAGGCGCCCAGGAGGCCCCAAAAAGACCCCCAGAAGCTCCGAAACGGCTCCCAAGTGGCTTCAAAACTGCCTTCCAGAGGCCCCCGAGAGGTGTGGCGCGAGATCCCGATACACATGCAAGAAGCCTCCAACCCAGAACAATGACCCAGAGCCTCCTCTCTGTGTCCCCCTCCTCCTCCTCCCCCTCCTCCTTCACCTCGGCCCCCAAGTGGCTTCAAAACTGCCTTCGAGAGGCCCCCGAGAGGCGTGCCGCGAGATCCCGATACACATACAAGAAGCCTCTAACCCATAACCCATAGCCCAGAGCCTCCTCTCTGCGTCCCCCTCGTCCTCCTCCTCCTCCTCCTCCTCCCCCTCCTCCTCCTCCACCTCCTCCTCGCCCCCCTCCTCCTCTTCCCCCCTCCACCTCGTCCTCATCCTCTTCGGTTCTTGTCCCCCCATCCTCCGCCTCACCCCCCATGCTTCTCTCCCCGTCCTCCTTTTCCTTCCCAGCACGCGCGCTCGATTGGTCATCATTTGCATGTCTTGCACTTCAGGGTGCCCTTCTTTTCGTCGCGCGCGACATTGGTGAGGTTCACGAAGAACGCCGACTTCGGTAGTCTTCTCTTGCACGGGCCGCTACACTGATACGCAGGAGTCCCAAGGGGTCGGCGGTGCGGCGTAAGCCAAAGAATCTTGGATTTACACTGGTCTTCCTCCTCTCCCTCCTCTTGCACCTCCTCCTCCTCCTCCTCCTCCTCCTCCTCCTCCTCCCTCCCCCTCCTCCATTCTGATTCCGTCTGGAAAACTCTTCCCTCCGGAACCCCCAGACGTGTTGGTAGGGCGGACCGGGCGTTGCGCCTGAGACTTCCTCACCATCTACGATCATGAAGCTTTACAGTTGCAAGAGCTTCACGGATGGAGGGCGGGCCGTTTTCAAGATGTGGCTCTCGCCTGAGCGCCGCGCGAATTCGTCTTCAATATCGCAACAGGTTCACGGATGTGGAAGGCGGGCTGTTTTCAAAATGGCGCTCTCGTTTCAGCGCCGCGCACATTCGTCCTAAAAGTTCGCAGCAGCTCACGTATGGAGGGCGGCTCCATCTCAAAACGGGGCTCTCGCGTTAGCGCCGCGCACATTCGTTTTAATAGTTAACCACAGTTTCAAGAATGACAATGGATGACGTCGTAGAAACGGTGTCTTGGCACTGCGTAGGGAGTGTCAGGGCGCAAAAGTCACGTTGATTCGCGGTGCTGGAATCCCAGGAGCGGCGTTATGGTACGATCCAGGATCGCTAGGACACAACAGTAACATTAATTCGCGGCACTGATGTCCAAGGAAGGGTGTTTTTGGCAAGATTCAAAATGTTCATATGGATGTCTTCCAACGTGGCACTCCCCCCCGTGAAAAGACAACCTTGTGGAGAGAATGAAGAGGGAACTTGGAGGGAGGGTTCCTTACCACATCATTGATGGGTCTTGGGTTTGCAGTAGTCATCCTCATTTTCCTCCTCATCATCATCATCATCCTCTTCTTCCTCATCTTCCTTTTTTCCGTGTCCTCCTCCCCCTCCTTATCCTCATCCTCCTTCCCCCCATCTTTCCATCCATCCATCCCTCCCTGTTCCCTCCTCCCTCCTGCCTCCTCCCTTCCTCCTCCTCCTCCTCCTCTTCCTCCTCATCCTCCTTTTCCTTTTCCTCCTCCTCCTCCTCCTCCTCCTCCCCCCCCTCCTCCTCCTCCTCCTCCGTGCGCCAGGCGGGCGCTCCGCGAAGCACCGCGCGACGAGCCCCGCGAAGCGCGCGGCGAGCCAGAGCGCGCGCGGGCGCCTTGCCGCGGCGGAAGGGGGGTGCCGCCGCGGCTCGGCGTCAGCCGCCGACGGCGTTGCCGCCGACGTCCCCGACGACATGGTCGTCCTCGCCGCCGTCGCCGCAGCACTCGTCGTCCTCGCCGCCGCCGTCGTCGTCGTCGTCGTGGTCGTGATCGTCGTCGGCGTCGTCATCGGCGTCGTCATCTCCGCCGCCGCCGCCGTCGCCCGTCGCAGGAAGAGTGGAATGAACGGAAAATGGTCTCCTCCTCCTCCTTCTCCTCCTCCTCCTCCTCCTCGCCCTCCTCATCATCATCCTCCTCATCCCCCCCCTCCTCCACTTCGTATTGCTATGATTAGTTGTGGTATGCTTAATAAGTTGAAACATGCTGTTACAGGTCTAATGAATATTACTATCAGTGTTAATGCTATTATGACTATGACTATGACTAGTGCTGTTATTGGCACTGGTACTTTATGACTAGTGTTGTCATTGGTAGTGGTACTGGTATTGGGGCTAGTAGCTTCAGCATCCGTAGGATGACGTTCAGTAGTGGTAATGGTTATAGTAGTAGTTGTTGTTGTAGTAGTAGTCGTAATAATAGAAAAAGAAGTAGTAGTAGTAGTAGTAGTAGTAATAGTAGTAGTAGTAGTAGTAGTAGTAGTAGTAGTAGTAGTAGTAGTAGTACCACTAGTATTCTGATTATGCATATTCTCTAAATAGTAATAGTAGTAGTAGAAGAAGAAGAAGAAGAAATAGTAGTAGTAGTAGTAGTAATAGTAGTAGTAGTAGTAGTAGTAGTAGTAGTAGTGGTAGTAGTAGTGGTAGTAGTAGTAGTAGTGGTAGCAGTATTCATAAAGGTATCGTTATACGTATCATTACAAATATGACTACTATTAACACTGGTGTCAGTAACACTGGGACTGTTAGTAATGATATGAAATGAATAACATGTTTGATATTACTGGTTTTCCCATCAGCATTAATAACAATAATTCTGATACTACAACTCTTCTTCGTCTGATTGTCGGCGTTGTTGTTCTGAATACTACTCATCTTATTAATATCATCATTATACTTGTTCTAACTAGTCGTCGACGTACTACTACTAAGAACTAAACTGATTTTTGAACATTGATTCGGCTTCGTCTTCTTAATGATGCCGGAGAAAACCCAATCATAACATTTTGAAGGTTCGGGGGCTATGGGGCTATAGGGCCATAGGGCTACAGGGCTATAAGGCTCTGGGGCTATAGGGCTACAGGGCTACAGGGCTATAGGGCTATAGCGCTATGGGGTCATAGGGCTATAGGACTATACGGCTGTAGGGCTATAGGGCTACAAGGTTATAAGGCGAAGACCTATAGGGCTATAGGGCTATAAAGCTATAGGGCTATTAGGGATATAGGGCTATAGGGCTACAGGGCTATAGGGCTAAAGGGCTATAGGGCTATAAGGCTATAAAGATGTAGGGCTACGGGGCTATAGGGCTACCAGTCACCCGGGCACCTGGGCACCCGGGCACCCTGGCACCCGGGCACCCGGGCACCATGGCAACCGGGCACCCGGGCACCTGGGCACCGGGGCAACCGGGCGTGCCGCCGAAATCGGCGCCCCACCTCACCTAACCATATGAATCCGCTAGGACCCCTACAGAGGCAAGCTCTGATTAGGGAATATTAACATAAAAATTCATCTTCCCACTAGTAATGATAAGATTGCTCGTCTTCGCTACATCCGTATCAGCATTCGTAATATCATTAATAGTATTAATGTTACAATTGTTACCGACATCACTAATAATGATATTCTTAGCACTGCAAGTCTTAATATGATCAAGATTTATACTATTCGTATTAAGAAGTTGCTGTTGATTCTTATTCCGGTTACGAATAGCAGTATGTTTCCTCTTGTTGTATGACTACCTATTTTATTATTGTTAATAATATTAAAAGCATTTTCCCGATTCACCATGGATTCTGGCATTTTGTTGATCCGGTTGATGGGCTCGTGATCCAGATATTATGGCAGATGCTCTTCTCAAAATGGTCCCAAGTTTAGTCTCGAAGAAAATGTGCTTGATGCCACGGCTAAGAGGTCCATTAAGCGGACGTGCTAGGTAACTAAAGAGCCGGCCGCCGAAAGGGGCGAGGCCAGGCGCGCGCGCGGGCCCTCTTCCTGAGCACAGTAAAAGTTTGAGCCAATTTCGAATGGTAAAGCAATGTCAATGTTTGTAGTATGGCACCGCCAACCCTCAGTCAGAGGGCAAAAGCGGCGCAGCAACAGGTAGCGAGGGGAGCGTTGGTAATGACTTTACGTTTCTTTTTGGTGTCGTCATTATTCGTAGTACTATGATTATGCTTCTGAGTTGCGTCATGAATCCTATATATATATGTACATATATATATATAAAAAAAACAAAAAAAAAGTTTTCTAACGATTCCAATCAGTGTGCGTCTTACTTCTTACGACGAGTACTGTGATCATTATTCTATGTAATGATTATACTATCAGTTTCCGCATTCGACGTAGTCGTGTTCTGATTGCTAATATCATGTATTATGATGACTCCAGAGAAGCGCCCCAAACTGGGCTATGGGGATCCAGGGCTATAGGGCAATAGGGCAATGGTCTATAGGGCTATAGGGCTATAGGGCTATAGGCATATAGAGCTATAGGGCTACAGGGCTATAGGGTGATTGGGCTATGAGGCTGTAAGAATATAGGGCTATAGGGCTATAGGGCGATTGGGCTACAGGGATACAGGGCTATAGGGCTATAAGGCGATGGGGCTACAGGGCTATAGGGCTATAGGGCTGTAGGGCTATAGCGCTATAGGGCTATGACGCTATAGGGCTATAAGGCTATGGGGCTATGGGTCTCGAGGGCTATAGGACTATAGGGCAATAGGGCTATAGGGCTATAAGGCTATAGGGCTATAGGGCTATAGGGCTAGAGGGCCAGAGGGCTATAGGGCTATAGGGCTATATCAGGCTATAGGGCTATGGGGCTATAGGGCTAGAGGGCTAGAGGACCATAGGGCTATAGGGCTATAGGGCTACAAGGCTATAGGGCTATAAGGCTAAAAGGTTAAGAGCTATAGGGCTATAGGTCTTTAGGGCTATAGGGCTATAGGGCTATAGGGCTATTAAGGCTATAGGGCTACAGGGCTATAGGGCTATAGGGCTTTAGGGCTACAAGGCTATAAGGTTATAGGACTACAGGGCTATAGGGCTACCAGAGACCCGGGCACCTGGGCAACCTGGCGTGCCGCCGAAATCAGCGCCGCACGTCACCTAAATCGGTGCCGACGGAATCGGCGGTGCCCGCCCCGGACGAATCCCAGGATTGAACCCGCCTGCTTCTGCCCACCCCGCGCGCCGCCCGCGCTGAGCGGCGATGCGCAGCATGACGATTTGTTCGGCATGAGGTAGCGTAGGGAGACTGTAACTAGGTCGCGTCGTCTCTAGTCGAAGACAAAAAAAATCACAAGCATAACAGTCGGGGGTCCATATTTGAAGGGGCCCAAGGACACACAAAAAAAATACACAAATAATAGGATTCCCCATATTTTCCTATATTTTCTTGGTTTTTGTCTCCCCCGCCACTTCCCATATTTTCCCATATTTTCTGGGGAGTCGACGATTGATTGTGTCTGTGTGTTTTTCCCCCTCCTGAACATTTAATGTCGCAGCGCGGCAGATGCGACTTGCAAGCGCGCTCGAGTAGCCAGGGGCGCATGGAGCACGAATTAACCGGCAGCAAGAGAGGGAAGGAAGAAGAGGACGGCCGCGGAACGCAGGCGGGGGAAGGATGGCATTCACCGCGGAAAGACTGTCAGCAGGAGTGGCCGGAGCGGCCAGCCTGTCCCGGGGCGACCTGGCAATAAGCGCGGAACGGCATCGCGACCACACCAGGGGGCTGAGGCCAAGGCTGCAGGCGCTGAATGCGAACCAATACGTCAGGAGGAGGAGCGGCACGCGAGTCCACAGAGGCGAGACCAGGCGACCGTCACAAAGCCTAAGCGTCAGGCTCTGCTGCAAAGGTACGGCGCCAGCAGGATGCAGACACGGCCTGAGAGACCGTGGGGCGGCTGGGACTGCGAACAGAGCGCTGCAGCAAAATGCTGCCACACTGAACCCACGGGCTGCTGAGCTGCTGAGCAACTGAACTGCCGGAGTGGCGCAGCGAAGCGAGAAGCCACCCGCCAACGCGGGTGGATCGCCCA